TTAGTTAATGTCATTACCTGTCATCAAATCCAGACAACACTGATCTCAAAAAAGCTCCCGTGGTAAAAAGGCCCTCATCTTTCCTCTGCTGACATCTTTCCATGGCTGAGCACAGTATGTTGAACGATCTTGGCAACTGTTGCCTTACTCTTAGTCCTGGGGCCTAGGAAGTCTGGAGAAAGCTGACTTACTGTAGTCTTGATTTAAAGGTGGTTTAAAATGCTGTAGCCCTCCACCTTTTCCTCATTCGAGCTAAAGCATACATAGAACTGCAGATATTTTAGCCCATTCTATTGTCTTTTGAATGTATCTTGGCTTTAGGCAGAAAGGACAAATTAGGACTCAATTTACCATGGGGAAACACTCCGCTAAGGAGTAGCTTTACATTGTTAAAATGTTGCCTGTCTTTTATTTCATAGCCACTGTTGAACATCGGGCAAGCAGTTCCTTTATTGTTCCTGTCTAATCTTTTAATAAATCTCTTGTTGAATACCTTCAGTGTACAGGGATTTGGGGTTTTTGGGACCCAAGGTTAAGCCTGGCTTAACTGGGGACTTCCAGTTAAGCTTATGTTTAGGTAGGGAAATGGATGCTTGGATGGAAATGTGTAGTCTGTGGGCTGGACCCTTTCCATTTGCCTTCCCTACCCTTTCCCTGTTTCCCGATTTGTGGAGAACCCTGTGGCCAAGGGCCACGAATGTTAGCATCAATGGCTTTCTTGTTTTCAGGCTCCAGCTGTGTTAGATTTGGGGGGGGGCGGGGATGTGGCAGTTTCAGAATCCTGCCAAAGGAGGGGTTCACTGTTCCCAGTGGAGGGAGTCTTCCCAATGGTGGTAGTTCCAATGGTGATAGTTGGCTTTTCTAATGGGGTGTGTGTGTCAGCCTTCTCAATGGTGGGAATCAGCCTTTCAGGGGGGAAAATCAGCCATCCTTAGGGATGAGACTCAACTGGAAGAAATCAACCATCTTCAGTGCAGGATTCAGAGCTCCCTAGGACTGCCTCAGTCTTGAAGATGACAACCGACCAGCATTATTTTAACATTCACAACCCTGACTTTATTCTCATAAATAGATCTTTGGCTTTTCCCTAGTTTCCTTTTTGAGTGGGCTTTCAGTGTCCTCCCTGGGATCTGGACTGCAGCAGTTGGTTAGAAGGAGTAACATGCTATGCAAATAGTCATCAACCTTCCCATCCCAAAACTCACTGAAAGTAATGCTTCTTCTTCATACTAGGACACGTTTGAGTTAACTTTTGGGCGCCATCCAGCCACAGGATTCTTCAATTACTTGTTTTGCTTGTTTTTTGAGACAGAGTCTCATGATGTGTTCTAGGCTGACTTGAACTCACGATCTTCTGGCCCCAGCTTCTCTAGTGCAGGGATGATAGGTGTGCACCGTATTTTAGAACCAACTACTTATTTCCATCATCCTTATATACAAGGTAAGGAAATCTTCTCCATACACTGTGGGAAAGCGATATCTATGGCTTGTTCAGCTTTTTAATCATCAGCTACATGGTAGCACCTAGAAAATCATGACCTCAATGTGCACAGGTCAACAAGCTTCTACAGCCTGTAGCCTTGGAGGCTCCTGAGGCCATTCACAACCACCACTGCTTCTATTGGACTGCTCTTCAACAACCGTGAACTGCTTCTACTCCTTTGTGAATAAAGGTCAAGCTACCATCTCCTCAACCTTGTCTGGCTCATCACTTTGAAAAATGGGAACCTTCCTTTTACTTCGGAAGAGACACATTTACACATGCGGCAAGGTTGTCTATGTTGAGTAGTGCCTTTTGTTCTCCAAGAGATTTTTTTTTTTCCAGAACTTCTTTGTGTCCAAGTCCTCACTGGCCTGAGTCTCTTCCAGGTGAGCCAAACAAAGTATTTTCCTTCTCTGCATTTAACTTCATGGCATAGCTCAGGGGAGCAGATCTTAGACCAGAGGTATGCAGTTTATTACGTCTTCTATTTCGAAAATAGATTTCAAGGATTGAGGTGGTCTGGAGCACACCCCAGGCTTGCCGGTGGTACATATACTTCCCAGTTTCCCTGCTGGAAGCCCCAGATGGATGCCATCCGGCCAAGGAGCTTTGTTCCTCTGCTCAAGTTTTCCAGGTCACTCCATGACTTCCCCCCTGGAGAATTCAGACTGTGTGAAGGCCATACTAGAGTTTCCTGTGCAAAGAGCTCTTGAAATGTGGAAGTCTCCACTCCTCTTGATGATAAAAGTGATGCAGAAAGGAGAAAAAAAATAACAGCTCAGTTACCTGATGGTGCTTATTAGTGAGCTCTGTCTGGAGATGGTGCTGAGAGATTTCATGTGGATCCAACCCCACTGTAGGGGAGATGGTCAACAGGAACCACTGAGTGGACGGCCTTCACGCGTACGGTATTTTTCTCTGTAATAGATGAAATGAGGGCTAATAGTTCTCATTTCATAGCAGACTCAAAATTCATTCTATTTAAAAAGTATAAAATTCTCAGCTTTCTGCAGCCTACTTTAAAAAAGAGAGAGAGAGAGAGAGAGAAAAAAAAAGAAAGAAAACATGCCAGCCTGGAGAAGAAATATCCTCAGGAAACCAGCCTGGAGGAAGAGAGACGAAAGCATGAATGAGCCATTTAGCTTTTCTTGGAAAATGGCATAATCCTCAGATGAACGGAAGGCCAAGCATTCCCCACATTTTTTTTGTCAGACATGTTTGCCAGTCCACAAGGTACTAGAACCCAACCAGGGAACATGGGACTGACTCCAGTTTCAGTAATTCAGGTGTTTGTGGCATAGAATAAACACCACCCAGAAGGGAATATCCTGAGTTACCAGAAGTCCCAGTGTATTATATAATAGTAGCCACATTTCAACTTTTTTCTACAGAAAGAGGTAAGTTAGCCATGGATGGCTAACATATAAGCAGAACGTTTTACTAGTTAAAAAAAAAAAAAAGGTGGAATCCACAAATGTTTGGAACTAATCTTCCGAATAATTTGTTTTTCTAAGTTCACGTAGAGCTGACTTTAATCCGTTTCAATAAATCAAAGAGTGTGTGTTGAGTGTGTATAGTGAAGCCCCATTGGGTGAGATGTTAGCAGCTGCCAGCAGTATCTGCTATGGGAGGCGGTCACAGCCTAATCAGCAAGAGAAATGCTCCTGAGACGGGAACCACCACACATCATAAACAAAGAGAAACAAGGACGAGATAGGAATGGAGGAAGAACGTGGGTTGCTTGGAGGAGACTTCAGGCAGCAGTGGCATTTAAGAGCCCAGAGAACTCTAACTCCTCAGGATGAGGAGACGGGAGGTTTATCAGGTACACTAAGAACACTGAGTGAAACAAAAATAAATAATTTTGTCAAGTGTTTCTTCCTTACAAATAAACAGCAAACAAACTAACATCCCTTAGAACTTCATATGAATTTGTGAATTTAATTCTAATAGTTATACTATAATTAAGAAATGGTAGCTCCTACTTGAAAGGTGATCAAATTGAGTCTTAGGGATGCTAAGAACTTTGCTCAAAAACTCATGGAAAGAAACTCCTGAGCTGGGGCCCTCTTGGGAATGTAGAAGTTTGCACATCTGTGTCTCTCACTGCACTCAATTGCCTTTCCCATATTCTTCTTAAACATTCTTAAACAGTGAAACATGAGCCCAAGTATGTGAGTAACTCTGCATGGCTTCAATGACATGGTTCTCCCTGGACCTTTGCTTTCTCCTCAAATGGGATGGCACTGAGTTGTGCTGGCATCCCCCACTGGACCAAGCAATGTCCTGTGGCTTCAAGTGCTACTCCAGAGGAAGTCTAGATCTCTTCATTACCACCCAAAACAAAGCATCTTGCTATCCTGCACTGTCTAATAATACCACAGTGCTGTGTAAAAGAATAATTGATTTCATCCTATGAACTGATGAATTTCAAGGTCTGGTCAATATATGACCTTAGATTTGACCTTGAAGAATCTAGAACGTTCCCAGACTGATAAGTTAATATTGTCTTTAATCACATGTATTGAATATGTGTAGTATGAGTGCTACTCAATTTCTACAGACTTCAAGTTAATATTGTGTCTTCTTCCCTTTTTTTATCATTCCATAGACACAACATAACTAACAGCTAACATAACAGAATCATAGATTCTGTTCCTGCTACATGCTAAATACTGGTAAGGCCAACAAAAGAAACATGGCTTTATCTCCTAATGGCATGATCAGATAATGTCACTGTGGGGCATTGGTATTTTAGCTGAGCCCAAAGTAAAGAGAAGAAATAAAGCATACAAGAGGTGGCATGTCATTCCAAACCCAGAGACAAGCCTAGGTACATGCAGAATCCCCGGAAAGCAAAAACTCCCGGGCACAAGGAATAGAAAACAAGAAGAAGGCAAAGAGACACTGTATAGGAGACAGGATTTATTCTTCATTAGACATGAAGTTACTTGGAGCCTGTACTTTCTACTCCCCTGCTTTAAGCTCTGAACAGACTGCACTACCAACTACCGCCCTGGTTCCCTTAGATCTGCGGATAAAAGACACACACACACACACACACACACACACGTGCACTTGCTTATTTTTAATATGCTTTTTAGCTCAATGATCGGGCACTTCTAAGCCTCTCGCAGCTAACATGCCCTTGCCTTCACTCCCTGCCCAACACCTCTAAATCTGCCCTCAATTTAGTTGCCAGGCTACCTTCTGCTTGCTCAGCACCCTAAATCTGTCCTCAGCTTAGTTGTGTTTCTAATCTCCTGCCTGCTACTCCAGGTTCAGTCAGGGAAGCAGCCGATGGCCACACCACCCAAGATTTTACGTGGCTGGGAACTCTCTCTCCCTCCGAAACAAGCGGATTTCCCTTTCCAAATCTTGCCTCTCCTAGTCTGCCTGCGGGAACCTGGAAGTCCTGCCTCTTCCGCTCAGCTATTGGCCGCTGGCCTCTTTATTGATCAATCAAGAACCAATCGGACAACAGGAACTTCAGCGTTCACAAGCAGTCTCAATCAAAGCAGCAGAACTATGCCCTACAGTTACTGAAAAATTTTAAGCCAGAGTTGTGGTAGAAGAAGGGTAAGTTACTTAATGAATGTCTTAATATAATATTTACCACTTTGTGGACTATGTGTCCGCAGTTGCTACTGATAAAGTGCACTGGCGCTTGTGGTTTGAATATGAATGTATCCCACAGGTGCTGTAGTTGAATAATTGGGTCTTCGTCTTGTGATTGCCATTTGGGCAAGTTAGAACCTTTGGTAAGTAGAGCCTTGCCAAGTAGGAGGAAGTGTGTCACTAGAGGTAGGCTTGGAGAGCAGAAAGCTTGTTTTCACTTCCCCTTTGCTTTCTGTTGCTGGATTGACGATGCAATGCGAGCCAATGGCCTGGATCTAGTTGCCAGGCCTTCCCTGCCATGATGGGCTAGTGTCTACTCTGGAACTCCTAAGGTATAGCAAATTACCGTTGGCAGGGCATTTTGTCCCAGCAACAGAAAGGAGACTTACACAGCTCTGCAGGTTGAAAAGGTTGCAAACAAAACTCAAAGAAGAATTTATGTAACCATATAGTTAAACTTGTACATAGTTCTAAACTAAAAATAAGCAGAAACTGGCCTTCTTAAAGGTTCAGTAGGAAGAAGAATCTCTTAAGCAGCATGCTGTCCCAATTCTAAATGGCTGGAGTTGCTGCTTGGGAGCTCAGGGTGATGTCACCTTGCCAGTGTGCCTACTTCAGTGGTGTGGGCCAAGCTGATGGAAGAATTTCCCTAGGGGTGCTGAGCACCGCTGTTTCTGAATGATGTGAAAGTTGTTGCCATGGGGATTAGAAAGCTTCTAAGGGGCCTGGACTTTGGAAGTTCTACTAGTTTAGACACAGTAAAGAAGTGGAAACACTGCCATTTAAAATAAAGTAGTTAAGTACATTGGGACATATACTTAATGATAACATGTTTTAAATTAAACATAATCAAAGCAAATACTTTAAATTACAAATTAAACCTTCCCAGTTCATTAAAACTACCTTTTTTTTTTTTACAAGCAACTGATACCTATATTTAAGAGTTTCCATTTTCTTCAAACATTAATTGAATTTTTCTTTCAAAGCTATGGATGGAACCCAGGGTCTCAGTCATGCAGTCAAGAACTTTACTATGGAACTTCAACCCCAAAGTATTAATTTTAAGGGAAATATTGCTTCTTATAAGGGCAATATTGAGGCTGGAAAGACGGCTCAGAAATTAAGAGCACTAGTTGCTCTTTCATGAGGACCAGAGTTTAGATCCCTATACCCGTGTCAAGTAGAAGACAAACACATATATCCACAGCTCAGAGGGATCCAATGCACTCTGTGCGTTCTGCAGGCACCTTCATACATGTGTGCATGTACACTTGCCCAGACACATGCACACATATATAAATAAAATTAAATTAAAATTAAGAAGCAGTAGCATATCTCTTTTGACATGATTATCAACAAGGAAGGAACCAGCTCCATTTCCAGGTTCACAGTGTGATACAGTCACTACTGGGCCTTTCATTCTCAGGTTGTTAATACCCTGTGAAATAGAAAATTGATTTTTTTTTTTAAACCAGAGAAATGATGTCAGGGTCTGAATCCATTCAAGTCAAGTCTGTTTAGGTCAGTGGTTCTCAACCTTCCTAATGTTACAAACTTTTAATATAATTCCTCACGTTGTAGTGACCCCCCCATCATAAAATTATTTTTTGTTGCTACTTTATAACTGTAATTTTGCTACTGTTATGAATTGTAATGCAAATCTCTGTGTCTTTGATGGTGTTAGGTGACCCCCCCCCCTCCGTGAAAGGGTCGAGGCCCACAGGTTGAGAACCACTGATTTAGAGACTTCTTTGTTTTTGTTTTTCTAATCTAGGAAACCTAAAAGAACAGAGGTCTACTGTCAACATTTGCACAGGAGGAAGTATTTAGAAGCCCCCACCACCCTGTCTGGCCTTATAGACCTGCTGATGAGGAAGGCCTTCTGTTCCCCTCCCCCAGCCCCTTCCTCTTTCCATCTCTTGCCTAAAGGCTGCTCTGCTTAGGGGACTGTGCCCAAGGTGTTGCATGGTTGACCGACCCCAGAGAAAGGCAGGCATCATAAGCTCAGCTGCCTGCTCCCTCTGCTCTAAGGACCGGGGGACTGGGAACATTCTGGCAAGAGAAGGGAGGGGAGCAAAGCTTGGAGTCACACATGGCTGCATTTCGTATGGCAAGGCTCTCTTGTTTGTGCTCTCTTCCTATGGAAAAAAAAAAAAAGCTCCTGGAAGGGGCCTGGGGAGCCAGATCAAATGTTCAAATGTACTGGCAGGGAGCCAGAGCTCGACTTCTCTGCCAGGAACTCCACGTTCTCAAGTCTTCACTGCTGCTGAAACTGATAGGGAAGGTTAATGAGATTAATATGGCCAAACACTGTGGGCTTCTGGGGAGCAAACAGCCAGGTAGGGAAGCCCAGTGTTAGACCAAGGGCCGGCCCATGGTGGCTGGGAATACTGCGTAGAGCCCACTTCTAGTAAAGCTTGATCGTTTTTTATTGGACAATTCTTGTGCTCAGGGCTGGCGAAGAGAGGTCAAGAGAGGCGAAGAGAGGCTGAGGGTGAATGAGTGTCCTGGTTGGTTTTCATTTTACCAGCTCTGCCTAGCATGTGTCACCTGTGTAGCGCCAAAGTGATTCTTTCCTAGATCTCTTTTATTTGGAAAAGAGTTTGAGTATTTGATGAAAAATGGTGAAATAACACAGCCATAGGAAAAAAATCCAACAGGACAGAAAGTTGAAATGTCTCTATTGAATTGAGATTTTTGAGCAAAGAGGAGAAGAGGTCTCTCTCTCTCTCTCTCTCTCTCTCTCTCTCTCTCTCTCTCTCTCT